TATATATATATATATATATATATATATATATATATATATATATATATATATATATATATATATATAGTTAATATGTATATATAGTTAAGTATGTTGCCATACTCAACAGAGCGATTCTATACATACATATATTCTATATATACATATATATATGTGTATATATATATATATATGTGTGTGTGTATATATAATTATGTTGCCATACTCAACAGAGTGATTCTTTGGTTTATTTTAAGTAAAAAAGTCCATGTAAACATGTGTTCTAAACGGCTTAGTTTCCAAAATACAGATGAATGTTCGCAAATATGTGACAAAACGATAAATTGCTTTGGAGATATCTCCCTGCATAAATATGTCTTGCTTCACGTAAGTTATTATTCGCACAATCGTAAACAAAGTGATACAAAGTGAACAAAGTCAAAGTCACAAAATCAAAAATAGACTTTTCCTAGATCACCAGACTTAAATCTTTTGAATTATTTCCTTTGGGGGCATCTGAAATCATTGGTTTATACCACCCCAATTGAGAATGAGAATGATTTGAGGAATCAAATAATTGCTTCATGCGAGGCAATACGTAACACACCTGATATCTTTGAGCGCGTACATCAATTTGAGAAGAAGGCTCGATAGATGTATCATGGCGCAAGGTGGACATTTTTAACAATTCATCTAATTGTTTTATTTCATTAGAAATACTGAAGCCTGTTTTTGTTTTTCTATTTTTGATTAGTTTTTGATTAGTTCAAGCTGTATTTCTATATACAGGGTACTGTATATATTGCATATCTGCTATATAAAACAAAGCTGATCTACGTAAAAACAACGTAGGAATTTATTGCTAATTTGTTATCGAAATATCTGATAACTTAATCTTCCTTTAGCAGAACATCATTTAAAAAACCGACAAGCAACAAAGTTTTTTTTTGACAACTTTCTAGCAACAAATAAAAATATTAGTTAGAATTGATTTTGCTCACTTTGTTCCATTATAAGACGTTTTAATATTGCTGAACAAAAATATAATGATGCACTGTGTCACATCATGTCATGTGTCTCTTATTGGAAAGCACCCTATATCTGCCGCATTTTTGCAATTACATCGTAACGGCAGGCTGTGCTCGATTTTTACTATGTTTTGCTGTCACTGATATGATTTGTTATGACATTTGATATGATAAGTTGAACTGTAGCCTTGCTGCGTTTTCACTATCACAATGTGACATCAGATCATGTCTGATTTCTACTATCTTTTTGCTGTCAGTATCAAATACTGACAGCAGAATATGGCAATCTTTGTCCGATATTTGCTACAGATTTGCTGCCATGATGTGATAACATACAATGCTCGATCTTTATTGCATCGCTATCATAGTTTTATATTGACAAATTGTGCTGCTAGAAACGAAGCTTAAGGAAGCAGCAGTTAAAATCTACTGCATCAACATGATCAAGTTTGCTGATATATTGCCAGCATACTAGCATTTTGCTATTTGAGATACTTTTTGTATCCAACACGATTTATGGCCCTACATTACATTATTTTAAATAAATATATTTAAAAAAATTTATTAATAAAAATATGAGTAGCATTATACATTTTCCTTTCTCATATATTTTTATTAATAAATTTTTTTTATATAGATGCATTAAGATTTAATGATTCTACTCACAAAGCCAGTAGGCTTGTCTCTTCTATTTGCCATGATCCTGTCTTCTAGATTTGTGTTACCTTCTTTGATACATCTCTCTAGCCTAAAACATAGAATTGCAAAATGGTTATTGATAAAATAGTGCTCCCTGAATAAATCAAACTGTATAAATTCATAAATGTCTTAAGAGTATGTATAATAAGAGTATGTATAATAAGGTTAAACTTATATACTCTGTTCTAAATTAAGATTTCATGTAACAAGTAGGTTATAGAATAATGCTTCTTTTATCAAAGATGTAAAGATATATTGTTCTCAAAAGTTATCATTGCACAAACATACCATTAGTCATCAAAGATAATATAATAACATTTTAATTACAGAACATAAAAACAATGAACATATTGCAAGTAAATGTTAACTTAACCTGGATACATGTTACTTATATTATTTTAATAATTATAAATAAATGTCTATTATATGTATTTTGCTTACTCGATATTTTAGTATTATTTCTGCATCTATATATTCAAAGAAAGAAATGACTTTCTTTTCTTTCAGAATGATCCAGGTTAGATGCACATAAGTGTCTTCAATCTATTAGATATTAATTAGTTATTTTACACAAGGTTTCTTTATATAACTTTTTTTCTTTTTAATTAAACTTTCTCAAGTAAATTTATTAAATTAAAAAAAAGGATTAAGGATCATTTACCGATTGTAATTTGTTGATGCCATAATCTGTAAGAACTGACCAAACACAGTCGAATGAGAGAGGATAGTCGACTCTACTGGTTAATTCTTATACTGGATCTACAATGAAAGTATGGTCAACGCGATGCTGCAAACGCTTTGAAGCGTTTTTTAATTAGTCAGTTTGTAATTCTTTCTTCTAATTGGTCCATCAAATGCTTCAAAGCATTTGTAGCGAAACTCACAACCTGAATCTTTAGTCGGAAGTTAGACTTAATCGATGAAGTTGATCAATCAGCATTAGTTATACTACAAGTTGGCTATTGGCCAACTTCATCATATAAAGACTGGGGGAGGAGAACTTCCGACTCATTGTAGACTCGGAATTACAGATTACGGCATAAGTTAATAGATTACGGCCAGTAAGAAATATAAAAGATCTTTTATTTAAAAGCATAACCAAGTCGTATTCGAAAGATAAAGTTTTGAAACATAATTAAATTCAATGGAATATCATAAACGATGACATTGTTGTTGACAAGTGTATTCAGACAAAAAAATTGGCCTTGATACAGAAATGTAATTGGATCTTTTCGCTAAATGGTGATTTGGTTTGTTAAATAAAACAACGTTCCCGTTAAGGTTATTTCTCGATATGGTGCATCGTGTACGTCGATAATCGTTCCTAACCGAGGCAGATATCTCTATCCCGTTCATCAAAATCATTTGCCCATGACATTTCGTATTACCTAAACTTATCGACGGCCTCTCACTCGGATTTGCGCGCTTTTACGTTGAGTCAGGCAACCTAATCCGATGTGCCCGCGTCGTCGGTTTCTCTCAGTTTCTCTTTCCAGTGAAAAGGCCAGCGAATCGATTGGATTGATGTGCGGCCACGAATTAACGCGCATCGGATAATTTACGTGCGCGCGAGATACTCTTAACGAATTTTCAAGCAACCCTTTCTAAATGAGGCCCCGTGAAAAACGTCCGAACACCGTACTTCACTGTACTTGTTGTGTTGCAACTGATTGCGACAACTCCGAAATTCCAAACTAGGACCATGTTCGTATTGCTGCCAATTGACTGCTAGTATTAAAAATCCATAGTTCCTGTTACATATACTATAGCTGTGTTCCAAAATTCATTGCGAGCACTGAAAATTTACAGTTTATGTCACGTATATCATACATTTTCAGCACTGCCAATGAATTTTGGAACACAGCTATAGCCTATACTGTGGCTGTGTTCCAAAATTCACAGCCACTGCTGAAAATGTATAGGCTGCGATCGATTTGAACGTTTTCCACACTTTTCAGTACTTCTATTCTTATTTTACGTTTAAAGCCGGTTTTACATTAGTTGCAAGCTGGATATCAATCATGAAACTTTATCTCTAGAATAGAAAGTGCAAAGTGAAAAATTTCTCCATTAATTTCAATGGTAAAAATTTTCACTTTTCACTTTCCATCCTAGGGATAAAGTTTCATGATTGATACCCAGATCGCAAGTTGATGCGGCAGCCAATATGAAGCGTTGATTTCAAAATGCAAGGTTCAAATTGGCTGTCGCAACAAACTTGCGATCAGCTTGCAACTAATGTAGAACCGGCTTAATGAACGTTAAAGACAGAATGATGATTACACGCTTAAAACGCGTGAGTATCCAAATCAGCCACAGCCATAATATAATATATGTGACGTGAAATTTTCAGCGCCGACAGTGAATTTTGGAACACAACCTATATGACAACTAGCAGTAAAGCTCTAGACACGATGCGAAGGAATAGCACGATAGACGAAATAACACAATTTTAACCTAAAACTCAAAAACTGTGTATTCCAGTGTATCTAATTTCTGATAGATTGAAATCGTGTTTTGTTATTTCTATCGCTATCATTATTCCTTCGCATCAGAGCTTTGTTCGCGTCTCATGCTCCAAATTAACTCAACTGCTGAATTCACACTGGATCCGACGTGCGTACGACGTTCTGCAACCTATCACAAAACAGAATTTTATTTTGATGATATGAAACAAAATCCTGTTTTCTGATTGGTTGTAGAGCGTCGAAATGGGATCCAGTCTGAATCCAGCAAGATAGCACTTAGATCATAGGTAAGATGGCGGTTGGAATTGGAATCATGTGCTTTAACGTTCGGTGACACGAACGGATTTAGAACAAGTGAGTATATCACCTAACCTAATCCGTGAAATCATTCGAGCGGGTCGGACATGTGCCTTGTTTCGTGGTTTTTATTACCTCGATTATTTGAAGTATTTTTATACGAAATAAATACGTTTTTAATAAATAAATATAAAAGTTTGATTATATTTTTATATTATATTATATTATACATATTAATATTATTTTATTTTATTTTAAGTGGTAAATAAATTAATAACTAATCATAATTCAGTAAGTAGTCGAAATTCAAAAATTGACGAATTCATATATTAAAAAACTATTACGGTTAGAGCTCAACGATTTATAAATATATTAATCATTCTAAATTCATGATCTTAAGCCTTGTACGTAACATTGAGAAATATCTTCCTGTTGAAACATCGTCCATCTGTAACTCATTCTTTAATAAACAACTTATTAGTCTACAATTCTTCTTCGAAAATGAATCAAATAGAATTAACAAATGGATTGGCTGTCCAAAAAACAAAAAAAACTAGATTTTAATAATATACGTGATATTTTATATTAAAGATACTCAACATAATTCACAAAATAACAACTTTCTGACAACAATCAATCTTCATATACTATATCAGACACTCATGAATTTTCATTAACTCCACCATTCACATTCGATTTCTCTCGTTGTCAGAAGTCAAAGAAATTCATCTTGACTTGATAAACTTTTCCAACCAATCATTCTTTTCAGTTAATTCAATTAAAGATAAATGGTTTTTAAACATGTCTTCGTGTAACCTACCAAAAGATGTTGAAGATTTAGCACAATTGGGAAAAAATTTTTCTTTATCAATCACTAACACTAAAAAATTAACTGTTGAATTCATAAAGGATATGGAGAACAATATCAATAGAGTTCTTATAAATTTTAGAAACACCGCGAGAATAGATTAATTCCAATTTTCAATAGATTTTTTTCCTTTTCTCCTCGTTATAACAAAAATATTACACAGCTTTTGAATTAAAAAAAAAACAATTAACAGAGTTCATGACTGCCAATTCTAATGTAATATTTATCAAAGCCGATAAAGACAATGTCACTATTGCATTGGATGAAGACATGTACATTTCCAAATTAAACGATATTCTATGTGATGTTGAGACATACGAAAAAGTTAATAAAGATCCAACTAGAAAAATTTGTAATAATCTCAGAAATTTACTTACTAAGTGGAGACGTATGGTAAGTCTTGAATATATTACGCCGAAATGTTACAAATATTTGAACACTAGTGATTGCATACTATCAAGAGCATATGCTAAGATGCACAAATCGAATTGTCCCTTCAGAATTATTGTCTCTTCGATAGACAGTCCTCTCTATAACTTTCCTTTGTTCTTACACAAAATCTTATATAAAAGCATTCCAACAGTTTTAAGTCATATTAACAACAGTTATGATTCAGTAAATAAACTAAAAAATATGTCTTGATAATGATTATTTGATATTTTTAGGTTGTGATATTATTTTTCACTAACGTACTCACAGATTTAGTTATAGAGAGCATTTCCAAAAAATGGAATTTTATTTCAAACCATTGTATATACAATATATCAAGAGATGAATTCTTGGAGGCAGTTCGATTTGAGTCAATCTACTTTAAATTTGAAAATTGCATATATAGGCAAAAATTTGGCACACCGATGAACTCTCCTCTATCCTCGGTAATTGTCGATTTAGTAAGGCAGGATTTAGAAAGAACGCTACTGGAGACATTTGATTTCAAAATATCTTTTTACTATGGATTTGTTGACGACATAGTTATGTCGTCCATAGTAAAAAGATATACTATAAAAAATGACTCAAATTATTTTTAACAAATTTAATTCTTACCATTCAAGACTAATTTATTTTAGAAATAGGTAACAATTAACTTTTTAGATATTACTGTTTTTATTTTAAATAATAAATTAATTTTCGACTGGTATCAAAAACCTCCCTTTTCAGGTAGATACTTGAATTTTTTGTCCCAGCATCCTCTTACACAAAACAGAGGCACAATATTTAATATGTTTGATAATAGGTCCTTCTTCATTTCTCACTCTGTTTCATCAAAAAATTTTAGAACTTATTGCAAACATTCTTCTGGTTAATGATTATCCATTGAAATTTATCTTTAATACAATTCATAACAAAATTAAACATCTTATTAACAATAAAAAAATTTAATCACGATAAAGACATCACAAAGGATAATGAAAATGCACAGTCATAGTTCATCATCCTATATATTAATAGCATTTTTGAGAAATTTAAAACTGTCACCAAAGATTTAAACTCCAATCTCTCTTTTTTTAGCTTGAACAAACTTCAATGTGTAATCAAAACGCATAAAGATCCTCTTCTTGCTTCATCTAAAAAGAACGTTGTCTACAAAATCTCATGCAATGACTGTGATGCAACCTACGTAGATAAACATGCAGACAATTAAAAATTAGAATTTCGGAACATAAGAATCATATCCATAGATGCACATCTGTACAATCAGTTATAAGCACATAGGTTACATTGTGGTCATGAATTTAATTGGGATGAAATTGAAATCTTAGACACTGAATGCAATTATAACAAGAGATTAATGTCAGAGATGATTTACATTAAAAGACAGAAGAATGGAATTAATAATCTTCAAACAGATACAGAATTTTTAGATAAAACATATGTGCCTCTCCTTAATAATTTGTAATATACTCAGTGTTTGATCTTATCTAAATAAAATTATCTAGATGATTATCTAGATGAAATTTTGACGTCATCTTATCGTTATCTTAGATAATATAAATATTAATTATAATAAATAAAAATAATCTTATAATGACTCAATAATAATAAACAATAAATAATAAGAAGGGGCTACAAGCCAGATTTTTATGTATTTTAAATTCTTAAAACATACGTTTCGACCTTATTATTAGGTCATCCTCAGTGTAGAGAAAACAAATTTAACAAAATTAATAAAACGATTATATTCAACGATTAGATACAATTTCTACAGATTATAGTTACGCAAAGTGTTGGTAGTATTCCTTCATATCTGTCTTCTGTCGCAATAATGTAATGCTTTCAGTCTTATAATGTATGCAGTGTGTTCAGTATTTGAGAATGTGTGCTGATACATTTTTATTGAATGATTCAATATATTTAAATAATTTTATCATCATTATGGACTAATTGCGACCGATATAAAGAAGAATGTGACTGAGAATATTACAAGACTGAAAGCATTACATTATTGCGATAGAAGATAGATATGAAGGAATGCTACCAACACTTTGCGTAACTATAATCTGTAGAAATTGTATCTAATCGTTTTATTAATTTTGTTAAATTTATGTTCTCTACATGTACACTGAGGATAACCTAATAATAAGATCGAAACGTATGTTCTAAGAATTTGAAATACATAAAAATCTGGCTTGTAATCCCTTCTTGTTTAATATTAGGTGTTGGAATTAATTCGTAGCGTTTTACAAGTGATGGGAAGTACTTTCATTAATGTATTTTTTAATGCTCATGTGAAATAAATAACATTCTTTCATTAAAAACGCTACGAATTAATTCCAACACCTAATATTAATTATCTTTATCTGCATTTTAGATGAAAAAATGTGTTATCTTTATCTAGAATGATGTTTAGATAATTTAGTTTTTATTTCACATTGTTGAAAATGTACACAATTAAAATATTTTCTTTTATGTATTGGGAATATGCATTAATTTTAAGGGATATTTTGGTAAAATACGGCTTTATTGTGAAAAAATACAAATTGATCATTCAAAATATTGTCCATCGCTAGCCATTACTTTTTCCCATCTTTCTAGTAATAGGTGGATTCCACGTCGAAAGAACGATATATCTTTTGAGG